ATATGTTTTTATTGATTTCAGAGAGAGGGAGGGAGGGGGGGGAGAGAGGGAAACATCAATGATGAGAGAGCCATTGATCGGCTGCCTCCTGCACGCCCCCCGCTGGGGATCGAGCCCACAACCCGGGCCTGTGCCCAGACCGGGAATCGAACCCTGACCTCCTGGTTCATGGGGCGACGCTCAACCGCTGAGCCACGCTGGCCGGGCTGGAGCTTCTGCTTCCTTGGCACTGTTTTCCTCTGTTTTCAAAAGCCCCTCTTGTCTTTAAAAAATATGTTTGAACAGATCTGTCCGTTTTGCTAAAACAGGCTGCACCCTGTGAGGGCCACCTCCAGCTTGGAGACTGCCCCCTTGTTTCCCTGTTTCTACAGACTTTTGCCCCTGTGGTCATTGCCCCCTTCCCTCCTGTCACCCCCACCTGGCTGTATCGTTTCTGTTAAAGGAGTATTTTGTTGTCAGGGATGAAGTAGGATTTCGGCTAAACCTGGGGTGGCAGCTGTGGTGACCTTCCTCGTATCTGAGCTGCCCCTCCGGGGTCCTGCACCCTCCCGTGGGCTGTGTGCTCATCTCTGCCGGGTGCCAGGCCTGAGGCACTCGCCGCCCTCGGCTCCGGCCAGGTCCTGCCTGGGAGGTTCTCAGGATGAGCCTGCCCTGCGTGACCTCGGGGTCTCCGTCTGCCCTCGGCTGACCCCTCACGATAGAGTTTCCGAGCAAACGTGCCCTTTGCATCCACACTGGCAGCTGGACAGGGCTGCCCCGAGCTCTTCCCCTGCTCTCCGCCGTCAGGTTTTCCTCTGAGTGACCTTTGCAAATGCCGAGCCCTGCTGGGCAGCCTGCTTATCTCCTCTCAGGCATGACGTCTCACTTCTGTCTGGTCCTGCCTCCAGCACACTTTTACACGTGCCTCACACGCACACACGCACGTTCCGCAGACAGCTGCTCAGGTACATGTGTGCACACGCACATACAATGCCAGGCATGCCCGCACCTACACACGCACACACTTAAACAGTCACATATACACATGCTCACATGTTCGCGTTCATGCCTACACACACACCTATGCACGCATGCGTGCTTACACGTGCAAACATGCACATGCTAACACGTGTACACCCCCTTCCTGGTGGGTGGTGGTTGTCTGTGTCTCGGGGGTCCTGCCATGAGGTCAGGTGTCGGAGCCGCTCAGCCAGGCTGACGGGAGGCGGTGTGGTGGCATCGCCGCCCCCTCTGCGTCCACGCGTGTGCGTCTGCATCCTGTGTGAGGCCGGGCTGTGCCACCTGCTGTCGTTTAAGCCCATGCCCCCCACGGCAGCGCCAGCAGCCGTGCTCCACGGGACCGCGGGAGCGGGCAGGTGCTAGTTGGTCTCACGCCGCTGCTCCCGTAGGGGAGGGGGACGGCCGGGACCAGTCCAAGCTGGAGACCAAGGTGTGGGAGGCACACAACCCGCTCGTGGACAAGCAGATCGACCAGTTCCTGGTGGTGGCCCGGTGAGCACTGCTGCCCACCCGTGGGGAGTGGGGGACGGGCACTCGGGTCGTCCTGCAGGGGACCCCCAGCGTGCGCGGGGGTTCCTAAGTGGATGCCAGGCAGTTCCTGCCCCTGGTGCCTGGGCCACTCGGATCAGCCTGGGCTGCATCACCTGTGCCCAAGGTTGGTCCTGGCCACCCTTCTTCCGGCCCCAGTGGTCAGCATCTCTCTTCCTCCCCAGTTCTGTGGGCACCTTTGCGCGGGCCCTAGACTGCAGCAGCTCCGTCCGACAGCCCAGCCTGCACATGAGTGCCGCGGCTGCCTCGCGGGACATTACCCTGGTAAGTGGGCTGTGGCAGGACAGCTGAGGCCCGGGGCACCCACTGCCCAGGGCGTCTAGCAGATCCAGCACCCACTGCCCAGGGCGTCTAGCAGACCCAGCACCCACTGCCCAGGGCGTCTAGCAGATCCAGCACCCACTGCCCAGGGCGTCTAGCAGATCCAGCACCCACTGCCCAGGGCGTCTAGCAGATCCAGCACCCACTGCCCAGGGCGTCTAGCAGATCCAGCACCCACTGCCCAGGGCGTCTAGCAGATCCAGCACCCACTGCCCAGGGCGTCTAGCAGATCCAGCACCCACTGCCCAGGGCGTCTAGCAGATCCAGCACCCACTGCCCAGGGCGTCTAGCAGATCCAGCACCCACTGCCCAGGGCGTCTAGCAGATCCAGCACCCACTGCCCAGGGCGTCTAGCAGATCCAGCACCCACTGCCCAGGGCGTCTAGCAGATCCAGCACCCACTGCCCAGGGCGTCTAGCAGATCCAGCACCCACTGCCCAGGGCGTCTAGCAGATCCAGCACCCACTGCCCAGGGCGTCTAGCAGATCCAGCACCCACTGCCCAGGGCGTCTAGCAGATCCAGCACCCACTGCCCAGGGCGTCTAGCAGATCCAGCACCCACTGCCCAGGGCGTCTAGCAGATCCAGCACCCACTGCCCAGGGCGTCTAGCAGATCCAGCACCCACTGCCCAGGGCGTCTAGCAGATCCAGCACCCACTGCCCAGGGCGTCTAGCAGATCCAGCACCCACTGCCCAGGGCGTCTAGCAGATCCAGCACCCACTGCCCAGGGCGTCTAGCAGATCCAGCACCCACTGCCCAGGGCGTCTAGCAGATCCAGCACCCACTGCCCAGGGCGTCTAGCAGATCCAGCACCCACTGCCCAGGGCGTCTAGCAGATCCAGCACCCACTGCCCAGGGCGTCTAGCAGATCCAGCACCCACTGCCCAGGGCGTCTAGCAGATCCAGCACCCACTGCCCAGGGCGTCTAGCAGATCCAGCACCCACTGCCCAGGGCGTCTAGCAGATCCAGCACCCACTGCCCAGGGCGTCTAGCAGATCCAGCACCCACTGCCCAGGGCGTCTAGCAGATCCAGCACCCACTGCCCAGGGCGTCTAGCAGATCCAGCACCCACTGCCCAGGGCGTCTAGCAGATCCAGCACCCACTGCCCAGGGCGTCTAGCAGATCCAGCACCCACTGCCCAGGGCGTCTAGCAGATCCAGCACCCACTGCCCAGGGCGTCTAGCAGATCCAGCACCCACTGCCCAGGGCGTCTAGCAGATCCAGCACCCACTGCCCAGGGCGTCTAGCAGATCCAGCACCCACTGCCCAGGGTGTCTGGCAGGTGCAGCACCCATCATGGGGACCACTGCATGAGGCCCCTGAGCCCTCACCGCCTGCCCCTTCCTTCCAGCAGACAAGACGGCTCACTGCCCCTCTCGTGGCTGTAGCACCTGCCCTGCCCAGGGCACTTTTTCCCTGGGGTTGTTGCAGCAGCTGGGGGAGAGGGTGTGGCAGCGAGAAACAGGTCCATTGCCCACTATCTGTGGCTCCCCACGCTGGGCGTGATCCCCAGGCACAAGCCTGGCCAAGCCCGTCCCCACCTTCCCTCCGGGGTCACCGGAGCAAGCCTGCCTCTGTCAGCAGCTCTGAGTCATCCTCACTCCTTGCGCCCCCGAGTTGCCACCCCAGGACTCTCTTGTCCCCTGCTAAGTGGGGGTGGGGCTCCGTGTCCCTGTGCAGCCCAGATGTGGCTGTGGGTGGGCCCAGCGGGTGCAGGGTGGCCCGTGACCCTGTGTCTCTCTCTGCAGTTCCACGCCATGGACACGCTGCACAAGAGTCTGTACGACGTGGCCAAGGCCATCTCGGCCCTGGTGCCGCAGGGCGGGCCTGTGCTGTGCCGGGACGAGATGGAGGAGTGGTCGGCCTCAGAGGCCAGCCTCTTCGAGGAGGCCCTGGAGAAATACGGGAAAGATTTCACAGACATCCAGCAGGACTTCGTGAGTACGGGGGAGGCTCAGGACCACTCGACCCCGAGGCCACACATCTGTCCCTCTTTAGTCAGCGGCTCGTCATGTGTCACCAGCTTGAGGGTCAGCACTGGGTGGCACGGGGTCAGTGCTTGGAAATCATGGTGAAGACACAGCACACTTATCAGCAGGACATTGGCCTGACGCTGTGTGTCGCCTGAGCCAGGCACTGGCCGGAGGGGGGGGTCTCAGGCTGGAGCCTCATGACCCAGAGAAGTGTGTTTAGAAACGTGGGGGTTACCCAAGAGGAAGCCCCTCAGGGCAGTGTCCTGGCGGGCATCATGTGCCCTCCTGAAGTGCCTTTCTCTCCCCAGCTGCCCTGGAAGTCGCTCACCAGCATCATCGAGTATTACTACATGTGGAAGACCACGGACAGATACGTGCAGCAGGTGGGCCGGGCACAGGGAACCACCAAAGATAGACGCAGCAGATGGGCCAGGTGCAGGGGGGGACCACTGACACATACGTGCAGCAGGTGGGCCGAGGGGGAACCACCACAGACACGTGCAGCAGGCGGGCTCCCGGGCTAAGAATCCCAGGGCTCCTAGGTCCTGGGTGGCACACCCTGGGTGGGCTTTAGGGTGACCTCTCACAAGGCAGACAGTTGGGGGAACACCAGAGCTCCCCTCCCTGTGGAGCAGCCCCTCCCTGGCTGCCTGCTGGCCTAACCTTCTGTTTCGTTTTTAGAAACGATTGAAAGCAGCTGAAGCCGAGAGCAAGTTAAAGCAAGTCTATATTCCTAACTAGTAAGTGCTCCTTCCACGTCCCTGCCGACCCCGCCGTCCCCGGGCGGCGTGGGCACAGGTGGGGCTGCTGTCGGATGGGCCGAGGCGCCCTGGTGGGGGTGGCTGTGGCTCTGGCTCTGCCTTGGCCTCCCAGGTCGCACTGGTGCCCAGGCCCGTTCAGCTTTGAGCTGAGCTGAGCGCAGGTGTAGACGGGCTTGAACCTCCCTGGGAGCCTCTCCCAGGGGAGAAAGCTCACCCCTCGGGTGAGAGGAAGGCCAGCACCCTAGGAGCCAGCTTTCCTAGGAGCTGTGCATCCACAGCTTGGCGCTCCTGTGATCTCCTCCCTCTTTCCCTCACCCTAAGTAACAAGCCAAATCCGAACCAGATCAGCGTCAACAACGTCAAGGCGGGTGTGGTGAATGGCGCAGGGGCGCCAGGCCAGAGCCCTGGGGCCGGCCGGGCCTGCGAGAGTTGTTACAGTAAGTGCCACCGCCCGGCATCCGGGGCTCGCCCCAGCCCGCGCGGTGGGCACCCGGCCCTGTCCCCGTGTCCCCTCTGGGAGCCCGGCCCGGGGAGCGGGGAAGCCTTGCATGCTCCCTGGGAAGCCTTCCTCCCGGGGGACTCGGCCGGGGC